GTCACAGATGTGAAAACGAGAGTTCGCTACCTCGTCGACACTGGCGCAGAAGTTAGCGTTCTCCCAGCGAATCATAACGACCGGCTCCACGAATCAACTCTAAACTTACAGGCGGCAAATGGAAAACCGATCGCCACGTATGGCAAAAGGTACGTCTACCTTAACGTGGGTTTACGCAAACCCATTCATTGGGTTTTCGTTGTTGCAGATGTTTCTATGCTAATCATTGGTATGGATCTTCTACAACATCATAATCTAATCATCGACACGCGCTAACGGAGGCTAGTAGACGGAAACACTAAATTATCCGTTTGCGTAACTTCCTTTTCTGGTTGTAGATTATCCCCAGTCACAGTTAAGCATATGATAGACCCACTCTATCAACCACTACTCGACAAGTACCCTGGGATACAGAAAACTCAACCGAAACTACCGTGTGTAACCAGCAATGTTACACATCACATCACGACTACAGGACCACCTGTATTCTCTAAAGCACGACGACAAGCTCCGGAAAAGCTAAGGTTAGCGAAAAACGAATTCGATCACATGATCGACTTAGGAATCATACGACCGTCAAACAGCCCTTATGCATCTCCGTTGCACATGGTCCCTAAAAAGAACAGCAACGATTGGCGTCCAACTGGTGACTATCGGCGATTGAATGCAAAAACCATTCCCGATCGTTACCCGTTGCCTCACATTCACGATTTGACAGCTACCTTGAAAGGTAAAACTGTCTTTTCGATAATCGACTTGGTTAAAGCGTATAACCAAATCCCTGTGGCTACAAACGACATACCAAAAACAGCTATCATAATTCCTTTCGGACTCAATGAATTTTTGCGAATGCCGTTCGGTCTAAGAAACGTTGCGCAAACTTTCCAAAGATTCATTGACGACGTCTTTCGAGGTCTCAACTTCGTACATGTGTATGTTGATGACTGCTTAATCGCAAGCCCGGACAGAGAATCACATCTCAAGCATCTGGATCTTGTTTTCGAACGATTACAAAAACATGGCATTACTGTAAACGTTCAGAAATGCCAATTCGGAACCGACTCGTTAGATTTCCTAGGACACACTATCGATGCTCAAGGCATTCGACCTCTTAGGACCAAAGTGGCGGCCATTCTGGATTACCCAGAACCGACCAACGTCAAGCAATTACGCACGTTTAACGGTCTGGTAAGTTTCTATAGACGCTTCATACCGAAATGCGCATTACTTATGAAACCTCTTACTGACCAACTTCGTGGAAATGCGAAATCCATTAATTTGGACGACACTGCACGCAAAGCATTCTCCACAGTTAAGGAACTAATCGCTAAAGCAACAATGCTCGCACATCAGGACACTGAAGCACCCATTAGTATCGCAGTTGACGCATCCGACTCGGCAATCGGAGGAGTCTTACAACAATGGGTTAACAACACCTGGCAACCCTTGGCATTTTTCTCTAGACGGTTGCTAGACACCGAATCAAGATACAGCACATTCGGTAGGGAATTCCTAGCTATGTATTGTGCTGTACAACATTTTCAACACTATATCGAACGCCGTGAATTCACTCTATTCACTGACCATAAACCGCTCACTTTCTCGTTAAGCTCCTCTTCAGACAAGTACTCTTCCCGTGAGTCTCGACAACTGGACTACATTTCGCAGTTTACTTCAGATATTCAACATATTTCTGGAGCAAACAATGTAGTTGCAGACGCCTTGTCTAGAATAAATTCCTTGAACAGTTTCCAAGGAATCGACCTTCTTAAACTCGCCCAGCTTCAAAAGGAAGACACTGATCTTCAGCACGAGTTATCGTCCACAACCCTTAAACTGCGCATCAGACAGATGGGAACAGGTAAGGAAACCTTACTTTGTGACACATCTACAGGTATGGATCGCCCAATCGTCCCGAAACATTATCGACGCAATGTCTTCAATACATTGCACAAACTTTCTCATCCAGGCGTTCGTGCAACCATCAAGCTTATAGCAGAACGGTTTTGCTGGCCTGGTATGAATAAAGACGTGAGGGAGTGGGCACGCTCCTGTGTAAGCTGCCAAAAATCTAATGTCATCAGACACAATAAATGTCCCTTAGGCTCATTTAAAACTCCCGATGTTCGTTTCGACCATGTCTATCTGGATTTGGTAGGACCTTTACCAGATTCAAATGGATACTCTTACCTCTTAACCTGTGTAGATCGTTTCACTCGATGGCCAGTAGCATTACCTATCAAGGACATCACTGCTGAAACAGTGGCCCGAACCTTCGTCGAACGATGGGTAGCAAACTTCGGCTGCCCTTTAACCATCACTACAGACCGCGGACGTCAGTTTGAGTCTGAACTTTTCCGTCGTCTGACCTTACTATTGAGAAGCACTCGCTTCCGAAGGACCGCCTACCACACACAAGCAAACGGGTTGGTAGAACGCTTTCACCGACAACTAAAAGCTTCACTATCAGCTGCAAACGTTTCACAGTGGACCGACGCTCTTCCACTCGTCTTACTAGGTATCCGCAATGCAGTGAAAGCTGACATTGGATACACTGCGGCTCAACTCGTTTATGGAACGACACTTCGACTTCCAGGAGAATTCGTGGATCCTTCATCCTCTTCAATGAGCATGGATCTAACCTCCTACACGAACAGGCTTACAAACGCAATGCGTTCAGTTAAACCTGCTTCCACTCGACCTCAATCAACTGATGTTTTCATTCAACCTGACTTACGATATAGTACACACGTTTTCGTTCGTCGAGACTCGCATCGACGACCTTTCGAATCAGCATACGAAGGACCTTTCAAAGCTCTTCAACACGAACCGAAGTACTATATAATCGATAAGAACGGAACCAACGATAGCATCAGCATCGATCGCCTCAAAGCAGCGTTTTTAGAAGGAAAACCTATATACGTGGATTTTCCTTCGGTACAATTGAACGACACGACTCCGACACTTATAATACCTCATCCGACAACCAACACACACGATGATACTTCGACAGAATCCGAAAATAAACTTAAAACGACACGTTCTGGAAGAAGAGTGAGATTTCCAGAACATTTAAACGACTATTGCACGTAAGGCACTTCTCGACATTTTCTATATTATTAAAAATTTTTTTTTTAATAGGCTTATATATTTTCATTTCTATTTCAAAAAAACAAAAAAGCGATTTTTTTAACGCTGTTAAGTGTTCATGAGTTTATTTTCCCTTTTTTACGCACATACGTGTGTATTTTCGACATGCACTTACATTTTCTTTCTTCTTTTCCAAGACGGCTGGAAAAGAACGATGACGTTTATGAGGATCCGAAATTTTTCATTGTACATTTTCTTTTTTTACTATGATGTACCTCCGGCCCCATATAGTAAGGAAAGACGACCAGACGCTGCTAAATTTAGTAAGCTATCAGAAAAGTGTTTACCAACGACAAACTCGTTGGGTTTAAACTTCTGGCTGGCCACGTCTTAGGGTCATCACTGCCCCACTAGGGGGGGAGTGATCTGTAGAGGTAAATAAATCCCCAAACTAAATAGCTCTATAGGTTTTCGACATTGGATGCTGACCATATGTTTTAGTGGACTCATCTAGCTGAAGGCGCTCGGTCATGCATCCGCACCAGATCACGTGCTGTAACGCTGTGCTCAACATCAACCGCAATCACTAGCCAGATTAGATCAGAGAATTCCGATATATTGGTTATCGCCAAATACACTCTTCCGATCTCCTCGACTCTGTCTTTTGATTTCTCTCGGTGGGAACAAAGCATATTAGAAGGTGTTACTGGTAGAAGCGTTGTCAAACACTGAATACCTGTATCATCCTCACTCCCATATTATTCAAATATTCCATGTACCTACATTGCTTACTGCTTTGACTTTAAGATTAGCCGTCGCCCTTATAACTCTCGAAGAATTTCAGGATCCTTTCAGCTTAACATTATGTTCTTGACCGTCACAAATTCCATTATTACATACGATCGGCCGGCCCTAGTCTCGAAAGAGATATTATCATGTTTGAAGGTTTAGATAGTTCAAACCTAGTTTGCCACTGGAACCTCAAAGTCTATTTCTTTTGTCATTAAAATGGCTTAGAGGTAACTTGAACATGCTTTACGTAGGGTAATAACAATTTTTCATCCGATGTGTCTTTATTTTTCTCGTTCTTTTGGGCGAAAGCCCACGAAGATGGTTGAGAAATCTACACAAGTTTAGGGTCAGTTTCTCGACAGAAGACTATAGATATCCCCATAAAAACTTTAAACAGTATAAGCTTTAATTTGTTGTCAGTTTTATGCAGTAGACGTTTTAAAAGATAATTGTCAAGTTTAACTAATGCCAATAAGCCTCCGGTCGTTCCAAAACTGATATTGAAACCCCATATAATTGTCTGGTAAATTTTTGTTCCTATAATATAATCTCACTGGTTGAAATCATGACTCAATTGAAGCTAGACCACCATGGAAACCCTGGAAGCACTGAACAGCCGTTTCATTCAAGTATGTAACTCCTCAGCAGTGCACATCCACGATCACACACCGCGTGATATTCGAACCCAGGATCTACCAGTCTCGCGCCATGCGCTTAACAAACTAGACCACCGAGTTGGCCGGCATCCAACGGTGTTAATGTCTAACTACAACCAATCCACGAAGTTGCACCACCGTGCACCGTTGTCTTCAGTGAGTTGACGAAACGGCCGTCCTGTGCTTCCAGTTTTTCTATGGTGGTCTAGATTTGATCGACTCATGATTTCAATCAGCAAAATTTCTAAAACTCTCTACAAAATCATTCTAAGAATACGATATATTCGCTATAACAAAAAAAGTAAATCAAAAGACTGAAAGTTCTCTCTTTACCATGAATGTTTATGATATTGGACATTGTCACGCTTTTAAATGATTTAATTTTTCAATATTTCATTTGCATGTATTAAAGCACGTGGACGTTTTGAATATTGCGTACTTGTTTTCGTGCTACATAGGAATATGGGGAAATCCAAGAAAGAAAACAAAAGTAGTAACGCTAATGAATCAGTTACACTGAAGAAGGAGGTTTCAGTGTTACAAGGTGTGAGTATTGTCGTCGGTATCATCATTGGTTCTGGTATATTTGTTTCACCTGTTGGAGTTCTGAAACACACTAAATCCGTCGGATTGTCACTTATTATGTGGACTATCACTGGATTATTCAGTGCATTAGGTAAGCTATCACGCTTATTGATCTTATGCAGACAAAGGCGCCATTGTGTACGCTGAACTAGGTGTTACTATTCCTCGATCTGGTGGAGAATATATTTACATACTCCAGACTTTCGGACCTTTACTTGGCTTCCTATCTTTCTGGATTACATTTGTCGTAATTGGATCTGCAAGTTGTGCGGCAAGTGCACTTATTTTCGCCCAATATATCCTTCGACCTGTTTATATGGACTGTGTTACTCCTCCTATCGCGATACGCACCGTTGCAGTGTTAGGACTGCGTAAGTGTTACATAATTTTATTTCCGAATCAAGTTCTCATTTGCTTTGTGCACTGTTTCAGCGTTAAACTGGTAACGAAAGTCGCTGTTGTCTTCACTGCTTGCAAGGTTACAGCTTTACTTATCATAATTGGTTTCGGCCTCTACTATCTGGGAAAAGGTAAAGTAAACTTCCATATATAACTATTATATAAGTGTTTTCTTCGTTTTCTGACTGCCCCTTATTGTTTAAATAGGCAATGTTGAGAGTTTCAAAGAACCCTTTGAAGATAGCGAAATATCACCCGGTGAACTTGCATTGGGATTTTACCAAGGGTTTTGGGCTTTTGCTGGTTGGTAAGTTGTCTGAATGACATGTTTTATTTATTGGCCAAGTGTGATTATGTAAAATTCTCGTTTATATTGATTGTAAACTGGCAATTGTTTTGAAATCCTTAAATACCAAACTTTGTTTTAGTAAATTGTGAACCACATTTTTTTCTAAAATTCAGAAAAGTACTTCGTGTATCAGAAAACGTTTTCTGAATTAATTCTGTCATACAATTTACTATACTTCGATATAATTATATACTAACTCTATCTACAAGGCTCCAAAATATTGGCAATATTAAATCTACAATATATTAGGCCCCTGACCACTATTGCTCTACATGGGAAATGTTTTGAATTTGTGGTTATTTCGTTCCCATTATATCTCTTAAGTAAATTAGTAATTTCAATTCATTAATAGCTAGGTGTTGATAACCTGTTTCCGTCTATTACCTTTACTGTTCTGCATAAATTTGTGTACAAACTGTCTTAAGCAGACATAAATTCATCCCTTTAGGTAATAACGATACGTGGTTCTCAACCCACTTATGTTGTGTCATCAGAAAGTCAAGTCGGGTAACTAGAAATTCCCATTTGTCTTTCGTGAATTCACGCGTACTGTAGGCATAATTGTGAATAAGAGTTACGGGTTTTTCTGGTTTTGGAATCGCACTAAGCACTGGAGCCGAAGTAGCACCGGTCGATTGGGTCCCCAATAATAGTCGGTCACGTGCTGTTAAATTAGAAAGTCCGATCAAAGTGCGAGGAAAGCGGTGTGAGAAATGATGTCTTTCCATCATCGCCTACGCTCTGACAGGATCCAGCCAGTATAGGTATACTCAAGTCAGGGGTTTAGGCAAAGAAGTGAGTTGGTTAGGTGGCTGATGGGGACTTTTTGGTCGCAGGTCAGATAATGGTGACCGTCTACTGCAACTTTGCGCAGACTATAAACGGTTTCTGGCTACCACTAACTATCAGAACAGTCATCGCTGATGTGCCGCCTGGCGTCCTCCTCCGTATCTCAAGCCAGGACTCAGATTGATCACATCGCAATCAGCTACGACTGGCGTTGGTATGTACAAAACTACTGCTCTTTTTGGGGTACCTATCTGGACTCTGAGCATGCCCTTGTTTGCGTTTCAGTGACCAACAAATTCATCGTTGTAAACGGATCGATGTCAGCAAATCGATTGAAAATTCTGTTGCAGCTAAATATCATGCTGAGCTTGGTTCAAGGCTGGTTATCAACCAATCGAAACGCATTGGTGAGCATTGGCTGAAGTTTCATGACCCCGTGAAAACAGAGAGTAAAGTCTCTTGCAGGTTTACGAAACGTCCCGCCCATAAGCACTGTCTTTTTTTCAGGTTCCTTACAACTTGTTGAAGCACGTCGGTTTGTTTCGGGTACCACGAATGTGAGCATAAATTACACAAAATAGAAGCCAGTTGCGGTCCTATTGTAACTTTCTTTTACTTTCTTGATAAGAAGTGAACATAACTTCCTTAATTGAAAGAATTTTTTCTAGTCGTATTTTTGCTAACTGAACTGTTTCTCCTATTATTATTATTATTATTATTATTATTATTATTATTATTATTATTATTATTATTATTCCATTCTCATACACTAATTTCTGTTCATTATTGTTATTTTTTTATTATGCTCACTTTACATTCTCTACCTCTTAAAAACCACATTGTTATTGGATAGGGTATGTATTTGTTTCCCCCCTTGTATCAATGTTTATGTGTCCAAATAAATAAATAAAGTCTGATATCTGTTCTGAATTTCACCCAAGTAAGTTGGAAAAGAGATGGCCTTCCAAATCCATGATAAGTCCACAACATATTTTTCTGAGTTATTGATAAAGTATGTTCATATAAGTTTTCCTCCAAGAAACAGATATTTGAGGAGTATTTAGTTTAAATATTTCAATTTATTTTGCACTTTATTTCTTGTTGAACATGACTGGAAAATGAGACATCAGGTTGTTTGATCCTTTTGGATTGTATTCTTATTTGTTTTGTAGGAATTATCTCAACTTTTTGACAGGAGAAGTAAAAAATCCAGGAAGGTAAGTAATGACATTTTATTTATCCTTATTCATCTGATCATATGTATAACTATCAATCTAAATAAAACAAAAGGGGTGGTTTGAAAATAAAAAATGGTTTGACAGTAAACACTGAAATACCTCAGTTATTCGTAAAGTAGTAAATCTATAAATGCTTGATATTTCCTCTACGAGTTGAAGTTTTTATATTTTCGTTTCTATCTACATATCGTGCTATGTTGCAAAGTTGAAACTCTGGCCACGTGTTCAAAACATCATACCTCGAACATGCAAAAAATGTTCGAACCCATTACATACTTTTATCTGAATTTGCGAGTAGTTCCTGTTCCCATAATATTAGTTGTGCATAGACTAGTATGTAAACCTGTGTTAAAAAGTGTGGATCTTCTTATTAAACAACGATAGTTCATCGACCATTCTAAATGAAGTGACTTACAAAGGCAAACAGGAAATAAATGAAATCGAAGACGTTATGTATACTGAGAAAGTTGAGTGTGAAAAGTTCTGTTATTTTTACCGGTAAAATATATTGTTTTTTTGACCAAAACTCCTTCAAATTACAACTGTATAAAATAGCTTGCAGTATCCATACTAAATAATTGGATGATGTCAAGCATTATGGTACTCAGATTACTTCAGTAACATAAATGAAGTCAAATTAGTTACCGTAAAGGCACTTGAGATCTACATTCTAAGTTATTAACATCATATAGTGAAGATATTTGTAATAAATACCAAGCCTTCGCTAGTTGTAAAACTGATTACTTAAACAAGTTAATTCGACTTTTTATACACAGGACACTACCGATCGTAATTATACTCTCACTCACAACAGTAACGCTCATCTACATTTTGACCAATGTGGCCTACCTTGCAGTCTTATCACCATTAGAAGTTCTTGCCTCAGAAGGTTCTACTGCAATAGCTGTGGTGAGTATTTCCTCAATATTTCACGAGTCTATTATAAATATTCCATAAGTTAAATACTACATCAATTCATGTTCTTTAATATTTTATGAAAAAGTAAACTTTTTTGAAGTGCTTTACTATTATTTGATCGTTCGAATAGAAACAGGTAGTTTTTTCTAGAATTTTTAAAGTCCCATCCACAAAGCTCCAAGGCAATACAGCGATTCGTATTCATATTGTACTGGGTATTCAGTGGTATTATATGTGCCTTTTTATTTAGTCCCAAAGTATACATTTGACATTTATTCTAAATCAGTGTAGTGTCTAATGCAGAACTGCAACGACGTCCATCGTAAGTCTGAAGTAAATACCAACGTTGCAAAAATAAAATGATCAGGTTTTCCTCGATAAAGGACATGCTAGGTCGCTATATGACAGTTCTTTGAGTGACAGATTGGTGATCTTAGTGACTCGTGGCATAGAACGAATATTATCAAAATGATTGGATTCTTTGTCTCATCAGGATTGTAGGGCAAAGTGCTTTACGTAAAAGTCAAACGACCTCCGCCCTTGCCAACCATTTATATTGTACAAATTCTTTGTGTTGTTACCTGGCATATATCCAACTTGCCAGACTGTATGCCTGAGGATAAGCCCCCTAAATTTGAAACACAACTAACCATTAATAATAAATACCATTAGTGGAGTACGCAGTTGTTCACTCATTATGTAGAATTTCTGAACACTACATACAACGATAGGGGAATATCTGGGATTTTTTCCCCATATAAATGTGTATATTTGAATGTTTATTCCAACTATGGGGAAGTAACCTAATTGAGTATCCTGACCACTTAACTGAACTTAGAAGTTTTATAAACCCTAGTGGGTTGGTAGCTGACGGATTTTTGTTATGAATACAACAAACCTTGCTTAACATCTGCCAACTTGTATTACTGTTTTTGCGGCAAGATATCTGTCTAGTTATCAGAGAGCGAGTAAACCGTATAACAATTCACCCTATATCAACCATTAGCACTTCTTTAATTTTCACCACATTGGTTTAGTTTCCCTATAGTTTACAGTGAATCGAACTGATGCACTCTTACACCACGATCCACTTTGATAATGACTGACTAAGTTAAGAATACATGTATACTGTCATGATCAAAATAATCCCTGATTATGTGTAGCTCCGTTCTCAACGAAAATAATTGTCCTTAATTGTGCAAAGCCCAAACAGATTTATAAGATGTCTGTTCTTCACTGTTCTCAAAAATGTTGGTCAAATATCCTGGTTAGAAAAATAAAAGACTTCATTTATGTGGATAGTTAATTTTTTTGCAGTATCCATGATTTATTTTGTTTTCATACCAGTTCTTCTACTTTCCTTTGAACAAAACATGTAATTTTTTTTGTAAATACACTTACACACTAGTTTACACAACTCAAAAGTTTTCATATATCCTCGTATATCTTCTAAACTTCGTATAGAGCTTTGCATCAAGAACGATGGGGGTTGTGAGTTTGGTAATGCCAGCTCTTGTGGGTGCTTCAGTCTTTGGCAACATAAATGGTGAGATATTCTCTATTTCCCGGTAAGCGTTTTACCACTTTTGTTCTCGTTTTTGTTAAATTCACTGTGAACTATTATTCTATAAACATTCTACAGTTTATTGAAACACTTGCTTCATTATCAATAGTCTCCATTTGTCACTGCATCTGCATAATAAACAAAGTTCCTTACGAAACCAATTTGGCGAGTTTGCGCTGTAAATACCGAATATTTTAGGAAATTTCGGCAATTCGGAAAGATCTTAGCCAGATTAAACGTAACTGGAATTAGGACGCTGGTAAGGAACTATTGTTTTCTGACTAGAAGTGATTGGGGTCAACGACAATGCAGGAATTTGGTGAACTTGACATCAAGTAGTGGGAAACATTACTTTCAATGACCAAGTTTTCCTTTTTCTTCACATTTTACTCGACTTTAAATGTCTAATTAAATGTCAGTAATAATTAAACCATTAAGAACGAACATAGATGTTTTTATGGGATTTATTTAGTCATTTATTATTATTTTTAGCTGGACGCAGTTACCCCCCGAACCTATTTTAGCAATAGAAAACAATTTGGTTGAAAGCAACGAATTGTGAGATCAATACTTTACGTCAGCTTTCCGGTTAATTCTTTTACGAATACCGAAAGCTCAGATGTCATTTGATGAACTAACCTAACTATCACCTTAGAGATGACTGTGAAGTGACAAACATTTTATGTATTTGTAAATTACTGAAACGGTCTTTATGGCATTAATTATAGTAATAACAATCTCCCTCTTGAGTAAATCTTGAGGACAGTAAACACGACAAACTGAAACAGATTGTAGGCCTGGTACCAAGGACTCGTATAAGAAATTATAATTAGATATCATCAGGGGTAAATTTGTCATGGTATATCTACTCTTTATCTGTTCAACCTTATCGATGACTTCTGCATGTAAGTACATCAGATATCTCTGACTGACCTCCTACTTGGATATATTCTAATGCCCCGACCGAAGCTGCTACCTTGACGCGGTGGTCGGGCTTGCCTATCGTGATGACCCAACTGAGCTATATTGGCTGGAACATATGTTACTGTCGGTTCTACCATGCCAGGAAGGTCGATTGGAGAACGGTAAGACTAAAAGCAGCAACTCAAGGTCTGAGGGCGAAGTCGTACTACTGACCGTAGAGGGGTGTGACAGCAGTAAGGTGTTTCCCTCGGACAACCAGCATGACAGCGATGCTGCCTTCCCACAAGGAGGGGTGGGGTTAGTAAAGGTCGACCCTAAAAATGTCACACCTCACCTTACCTCACGAATTTCCGTCTCCGGCTGTAAGGCCCTTTGAAGAACGGAACTAACTCATTAAAAACCTTCCACGAAAAGGCCGTGCGTGACCGGCCTCAAGCAGTTGTCCCTTGGGCTCTGCGGTCACGCTTCCAGGTCGTTAAGACCAATACTAATCCAATTTCATTTTCAGGTTCCTCAAGAAATACCCTTCCACGGTGTGGGCAGCCGGTAAGTGATATCAGCCCTCATACCCGTAACATTGCACGAGACCAAGTTGGTCACATTCAAGTCCTTCCTACACCTCCTAATACCTCTCTTATCTCCATGACTAACCCTCCTCACGTTTCTTTATCACCTCACACCGGTAGGGCAAACGATTCGAGTACGCGGAACGCTATTCCTGGTCTCCTGAAACCACGCTCTAAACTACACGTAGGAGCTTTTAACGTCTGAACACTGTGCGAAATAGGACAGCAGGCTTCCTTAGCTAGGACTTTAGAATCCCGCGCCATCGATGTGTGCTGCGTCTCCAAAACGCGCATACAGGATCCGAGTAGCGTCATTCATCTGACCTCACCATGCCAAAATAAAGAACCGACTCGATTCACACCTTGTGTATCTGGAAGCCCTGATTCTGCTTCCCGTGGCCTCGCCGGCGTAGGCTTAGCATTGAGTCTTAGGGCAGAACTAGTTCTCTTAGAGTGGATTCCAGTAGACAGTCGTTTGTGCGCTGTCCGACTAAACGGAACAGTAAGGATCCGAAAAGATGAGGACACTCGTCGTTTTTGCCTATTCTCCCAATGACTGCAGCGCAGATGATGTAAAAGATGAGTTTTACAGAAAGCTTTCCGACCTTCTCCGAAAAGCTAGGCGCTCTGATGTAGTAATAGTGGCTGGTGACTTTAATGCTCAAGTAGGTAAACTAAGCGATAGGCAAATACACCTAGGTGGATCTTATGGTGTCGTGGCTCAAAGAACAGATAATGGCGACCGTCTGTTGCAGCTATGCTCAGATAATCGCCTGTTCCTTGCAAATACTAACTTTAAGCATAAGGAAAAACATCTTTTAACATGGAGACCCCCTAATTCGTCCCAACGTTGGACCCAAATAGATCATATCGCTATCAGCCACCGATGGAGGGACTTGATGGAAGACTGTCGCTCATTCTGGAGCACATGCTTAGATTCAGATCATACTTTAGTACGAGCGCGTATTTGCTTGCGTCTTACTGGACGTAGGAAAGACGCTGCAAGTAAACCTCTTAGGGCCCTACTTAATGATAGTCAAGCTAAGAGTATATTTCAGGAACAACTAGGAAAACAGTTAGGCAGCCATGTATGTAATGCCCACCCCGAGGCAGCATGGAATGATATCCGTAAAGCTGTGGAAACAGCAGTGATATCTGCTAGTATGGTAAACCAGAAGGTTAGAGAGCAACACTGGATTTCAGCACCATCTATCGCACTGATGGATGCTCGGAAACTCATTCCACCTGGCTCTGAACATAGTGAAGAGCGCAGTCAGCTTAAGCGCAAGCTGACAAGAAGTTTACGCAATGATCGTGAACAGTGGTGGGTAGCGAAAGCAAGAGAGATGGAAAAGGCAGCGGCAATAGGTAATAGCAGTCAATTGTTCAGAATTGTTAAGGAAACCGACTGTTAGCGAAACACTCTCAGAGAAAGATGGACATATTATACACTCTCAAACCAGCAGATTGGATCAATGGGCAGAACACTTCAGGGATCAGTTCAACTGGCCTTCAGCCACACTTCGATTTCCCACTATCTCTAGTCAACCTGAGTGGCAAGTTAATGTAGGACCTCCGTCTCTTTACGAAGTTGAAAAAGCCATAGGAAATCTGAAGTGAGGGAGAGCAGCAGGCCCTGACAGATTTACTCCTGAGATTTTCAAGGATGGTGGTCCTGTATTAGCAATGAGATTAACTGAGGTCTTAGGTAGAATTTGGGAACTGGACGTAATCCCATCTGACTGGTCTCAATCACTGATTGTGCCAGTTTTTAAGAAAGGACAAAAGTCCTCTTGTGACAATCACAGAGGAATCAGTTTGACTAATATAGTGTCTAAAATATTAGCTTCAATAATACTTCGACGCCTAACGAAAACTCGTAAAGAGCAGACTAGAGAAAATCAGGCCGGTTTTCGACCTGGACGTGGTTGTATAGACCAAATATTCACACTACGTCAGGTTCTAGAACACAGACACACGTTTAGACGCCCCACAATGGTAGTATTTCTCGACCTTAAGGCGGCATTTGACTCTGTTGATCGTGAGGTTCTATGGCAGTGTTTGTCACTGAAAGGAGTACATTAACCTTGTAAAGGCTCTCTACTCGAACACAACTGGTAGAGTGAGAGCTTATGGCGAACTGTCATCAGAATCGATTACCTCAAGTGGTGTTCGTCAGGGCTGTCCACTCTCTCCTTTCTTGTTTAACTTTGTCGTTGACGTGCTTTTAGAAATGACCATATTCGTAGGTTACTAGTATTCGATCATAGGTGTCTTCGAAATATTGCTCGTATATCTTGGGACCATCGAGTAAGTAACACAGTTGTTAGGAAACGGGTACTAGGTAAGGATGGCAAATCAAATGATGAAGTGAAACTTCATCAGTTGAGATGGCTGGGACATGTGTTACGTATGCATAACGTCCGACTGCCTCGACGTGCGATGTTCAGTGGTATAGGAGTAAGTTGGAAGAAAGCTGGGGGCGGCCAAACCAAAACATGGCACACGTCCATGAAGTCACTGACACGTGGACTGAGTCATATTGGTAGGTGTAGACTACCTGATTGGGGACCGCGAGATGATAGCAACCGATGGTTAGGGACCTTGAATGACATGGCTCAAAATCGTTTGCGATGGCGCAGGTGCATCCACTCTTTGTGTTCTCGCAAATTTTGATCTCCGGATCCCCCCTTGTCTCTTTTTTTCTCTTCCCAAGTTTATTTCACTGTATTCTACTATTTAAGTAACATCCCCAAACACTAATCTTTCCGATTACTGCTTATACTCTTATTATCTCTACCACTACGGGATTTGAATCGACCACGGCATCTCTGTGCTAATGTGGTGTGGCAACTCGAACTGATGTACGTACGTACGAAGTTCTACGTTGTTACTGACTGATATTCGAATGAATATACTGTGCACAATCCATTCCACATCTCAAATACAGTGTTGCTTACTAGCTGACCTTTACTTACGCTTAAGTCCAGTCACAGATAATGACAGTTAGTGGCACCAATCACTTCACTTAGCAGCTCCGCCAGTTCTACTGACTACTGAAATACTAGTATATATGTGATGAAAGGCGTTATTACATCTACCAAATTTGTGTATGGGTATTGAATTAAAAAGGAAGACAAAGTTGATTTGTGAAGTGTTTAACAGTAAATCTCTCATTATGTGACAATGATAAGTGACCGTTCATTTAGTATAATTTATTGTGGTTCAGGATGTTTAATCACTTATTTCCTTGACACATTTGTCGCTTCTGAATTCATAATTGGTTGAGGTTGTTTATATTACGAGTGAGTTATTGTGTCCTCAATGTTCATCCCAATATTCCAGACGTTTTTATTATCTATCTTTCTCGAGATTTTAAATATTTAATCACTCTCATTCATGAAAACTTTTTGATATCTTGTTTATCTCACTTTGCTTCTTTCCCATTTACTTAACTTAAGCTTTATCACAATGTTGCAATGGATACTAATTAAAATCTGTGATAAATAAAAATAATATATTTGTAATATCCCAATGAGTAGAAAATTGGATTTTCTGACGTTTCGTGACTTAGTGTAAGTCACTTCTTCAGAGAATAAATAACCAAATTAAAATTCATCCAAGTTTAAATAGTACAACGGAACAATGCAAGAATAATATTGGATCAATCAAAAACAAGTCTGAACAAGCTGATGTCATGTCATTTCTGTCAAGGTGATTCATAAGTGATATGTATGTAAATTTGTGTGTGTATGTATATGTGCATTGTTTAAGAATGAAAACTTGTGTGACCTTTATGGTAAGAAAGGATAGAGTTTAAATTTGTAATATGATAGTGTGAAATTGTAAATACGATCAGACTGAGTGGCTAGGATAGATGGTCCAAGTAGGATGTATAGTAAGACCTTCCTTTCTATTGAGAGAAGTAGGATTAAGCATTATATGGAACGCCTCAGCTACCCTCCTTTCTTTGTAGTTAGAAAAGCCTTTTTGCAATATTTTGATATTTTTAAAATCGATTTGGTGGTTGTTGAAAATGGCATGAGCTGCTATTGCCGATTTAATTTGAAGTTGGTTCAATTCTACAGGATTGTTGGGAGGTTTCTTTGTGTACCTAATATGTTCTTTGGCTCTAGTTAAGATTTCACGGGACGACTCTCCAATATAATAGGCATCACAATCGATACAACCTAATTTGTAGACGCAGTTCTGTGTGGACATGAAAGGGATTTTGTCTTTCAGGCGAACTAAAGTATTACGTAGTGTGTCCGTTGTTTTGTAATACACTTTGATTTTGTGATGTTTTAAGATTCTTTGGATTTCTTCTGTTGTGCCATGACGGTATGGTAGAACTACAGTACCAATCCATGGCATTTCATTCGAATCGTTATTAGACTGTAATAAACAGTTCTGTTTTAATATGCTTCTAATAATCTTCATAAGAAAATTATTAAATTGTAAGATGCTAACTATATTCATTTGTTCTTTTTGTTTGTCTTCCTCTGATGTGATGATCTTGTTAGCTCTTCTAAAAAGATTTAAGGCTAGTGAGATCTTCGCACTGAAAGGATGTGCTGAATGGAAGTCAATATAACGATTTGAATGTGTCGGTTTTCGGTAAATGGAAAGGTTTAGACTTCCATTTGAATTTCTTTTTACTAAGCAATCCAAGAAAGGTAGCTCACCATGTATATTTTCATTCGTGAATTTGATGTGCGATGAAAGTGTATTTATTCGTTTTGAAAAAGATCTTAGATGAGTCTTTTTTATAATAACAAATGTATCATCTACATATCTAAGCCAAATTCGTGGTATAATGTTGTGGGCGAAGATATTTGATTCTATGTATGCCATAAAAAGGTTGGCTACAATCGGGGACACGGGGGATCCCATCGCTACACCGTTAGTTTGTTTGAATAACATACCGTTAAAAGTAAAAAGCGTTGAATTTAAGCACAGTTTTAAGGATTTCATGATTAGACTGATGCTCAACGGACATCTGTCAGGAAGAGTATTGTCATTCTCAAGTAAACCACTAATGAATTTTAAGCATTTATCAATGGGAACACTTGTGTATAAAGAAACGACATCAAAGCTTACCATAATTTCATTCTTCTCGATGATTAATCCGGATAATTTTGATTTAAAGTCATATGTGTCTTTAATTATATTATGTAAGTTGAGTTGTAGTGGTTTTAATATGTTGCTTAAATATTTTGATAATGCATATGTTGGGGTGTTTGTGAAGTCTACTATCGGTCTTAGAGGAATATCACAAACATCACCTTGACAGAAATGACATGACATCAACTTGTTCAGACTTGTTTTTGATTGATCCAATATTATTCTTGCATTGTTCCGTTGTACTATTTAAACTTGGATGAATTTTAATTTGGTTATTTATTCTCTGAAGAAGTGACTTACACTAAGTCACGAAACGTCAGAAAATCCAATTTTCTACTCATTGGGATATTACAAATATATTATTTTTATTTATAACAATGAACCCAATGCTCAATTTATTCGAAATTATCAAATCAAACCTTGGTAATGACAACTATAAAATCTGTGATGTTATTAATAATTACACAAAGACTTATCAAGTTAATTTAATATCTATCGGGGAATTTTTAACTTTTCATTGAAAGACTTCACAGTCAAATAGTGATATTTTTAAATCTTGTTCAAACTTCTAAATAAATGGTTGCTCTGGTTGTGAGAAGGAGCATAGGCCTCGTGGCTTCCGAAGGAACTCCTCTTTCATCATGAAGCGTCATAGTTCTTCTAAATGAAGACCTTCTGACTCCCAGGGCAGAGTTTAAAAGGTTTGAATAATTTTTTCTGGTTAGCGTTTTTTTAGCGAGTTAGTTTTCTACGTGATGTGGTCGCTAACCCCTTGCCCAACCCTCCTCCTTTGTCCGAGCTTGGGACCGGCAGTAGCCACCGGAGAGACTCCAGGCGGAGTTTTGAATAAACATTCAATTGTCCAGTTTGAATTCGACAAGTGTATATAATACATACAAATTAATCGAGATAATTAAGACTAAGCAAATGAGTCATTCTTGTTATAGTTCAAAATATTTAGTTTAACTTTTGTTAAAAACTTGAAACATCTATGTTTATTCAATTTTATTAAATATTTTGGTTTTAATTTTAGACTAGCATTTACTGCTGGTGAAGAAGGACATATGCCTGCTCTTCTTTCAATGGTTAATATTGACCGTTTAACTCCAATTCCATCTATATTAATTGTAGTAAGTTAGTTTTTGAAATTATCACTTTCTTCATAACACCAATATTTCATACTGTTGTGATAATAGATTTCAAAAATTTTTCCAAGATTATTTCCCTAGATTAATAAGATTTCTATCCTGTTTAAGACGACAGCCTTTAAGATTATTCATTTAGGTATTTTTCTTGTGATAAAGCCTCAATATATACCCTACTACTATGTTTTCACATTCTATTTGCTTCCTATAGTTGTGAAGGTAAAATATCATCCGACCGTATTATCAAATGCTTCAGAAAATTATATACATATATATATAGTTTAGGTCAACTGTTATTAGACTTATTTGTAAACGGCCTAAGATCAGTTTTATTCATTGATCTTTTACCCTTCCAAGAGTTTCTAATGTAATATTATTCTATACGTTTTATCTCCTGATTTTTTTGTTTTTTGGATTTTCTTTCTATACTGACACAAAACTAGACAACTTTAACTGACACATATTTGTGCAAACCGTTAAGTAATTTACGTTGAATATCCATGTATCTGGTTTTGGGGTACTAGTATGGCTGTACTATAAGTAAATGCTTTGATGTCCATGTTAGTTAAGATTTGATATCAAGTATGCTAAGCAATATTTTTTTACTGTTCTCTGTACACTGTATGTAAGATTTGTCGTCAGTTGAATATTCTGCCCAAAAATCAAGTATTTATATCTTCATTTGTTTTCATAGGTAACTCTATCTGTAATTTTTCAACAGTTCGATGACATACTTTATTTGATCGAGTTAACGGGTTTTGCTTTCTCTGTAATGTCTGCGATGGCTGTTTGCAGCTTACTCTACATTCGTCGTACAAATCCTCAAATGAATACATCAGGATTTAAAGTAATTCATTTCTTTGTTCGTAAATGTAGCTCAGCAATTATTCAGTTGCTTGACAACTTATTACTTCTAAATGCTGAACTGTCTTTTAATCAATCACTGCAGGTTCTAGGTTTTATATTATTTATTATCTTACCATAACACTAAAATATCCCCAACTATATTATATCATACTTATCCTGTACAAATTAACATTTAAAGGATAATCTTTGTGAAATGCTACAATAATGGCTATCAACTAAGTTGTGATGAATTAAGAGAATGGAAGGAGTGTATAATTAGAGCAAATAAATGTAAAGTAAACTTTTATCAGGCGCCTTTCAGCAACTATCTGTAAGATATGCGGAATGCTTATCATGGTTTTATTATTTCTTGTTAATAAGGTTAATATTTATGTAAATGTGAAACCATGCTATCTAAGGTAATAGTCCACAATGCATTGATTATTTAAAAGTACTATCTGAAATAAAATCAAATTATGTTTCCCTTATTATCATTGATTATTAACATTGATTAAGCAGTATTATAAAGGATAGTATGAGAACAAGCGATTTTGCAAAACTATTAGGATGATTTAAATAATCGAACTGATTACGGACTCACTAAAGTAAATCCTAAAATTTAAGGCAAACTAATTTAGAAAAGCGATTAACTAAAACTCGTCTGTATGCAAACTATTCAATCATTGTAATATGACTTATTAGCAGGAAAATAATGAATTTAGTACAGAACTAAACATCTCGAAACAACCAAATACATCATCACTTCAGCTTATATATCATAATGATTATGCATCATTTTGAAAGGCGTTACCCGGTATTTTATATTCTAAAATGTAAAAATTACTATTTATATGCTAGTTTGTGTTATATTTCTAAAATGTATTTTGGTTTATTCAAACATTTAACCAATTATTCTCGATTATTTATCATTTAAATTTTTTCAGTTACCAATCTTTTTTCCTGTGTTGTATTTAATTGTGGACATTGCGATTGGAATCCTTGCAATCTATCAAAAGCCGACAGATTGTGCAATTAGTATTGGAGTAATGTTACTAGGTGTTCCAGTTTACATTTTTGGGGTGGTATGGAAGAATAAACCAAGATCAATTAGATCTTTAATATGTATGTTACTTTCTTTGACTTGATAATAACTTAGTATTTACTAGGTACGCTTTACATTGTAAAGTTTTTAAAAAAAAATGAATTTAAACCCACTGTTTTTGTATAATTTTTATCACGAAACTAACATTTCTCCAGTAGTGTAAATCAATAAAAGTATTCATATATATTTCAGAGAGCTGAATTTGTCAACTTAATTTTTGTTGTTTGGTTATATGAATAACTAACCTGAGTCCCAGTATAAATATAAAAAATCTTTTACTATCAAATAATTACCCTGATGTTGGGAAAAGGATTTCACGGCGTTTTTGCAACAACCATGGGGGATAGGTTTACATCCGATCGCATCCAAACCGTTGGTTTCCGTCATACTTCGAAGATCGTTCAGAACCCGAGAAAGATTGACTCTCGAGGAGTAGCCTGATTTTCGTTGTGATTGAGGATGTATTGATCATATCTTCACGCTCTGCCAAATATTAGAGCACCGTAATACTTATCAAAGGCCAACAATCGTAGTGTTTCTTGACATCAGGGCTGTCTTCGATTCGTTGGACAGGACTGTTCTCTGAAGTTGTTTAATGAAGAAGGGTGTGTCTGTGAGGTTTATTAACATCTTAAGAGCCCTATATACAAACACCTCGGGTAGAGTGAGGGCATGCAACCACCTCTTTCCACTATTCCATTCAACCAGTGGGGTTAATTATGGTTGCCCAATCTCACCATTCCTCTTCAACTCTGCCATTGATGACGTTCTGGATACAGCTCTGATGGATGTAGGTAATGGTGGTATGAATCTGTTGACATCCAGTGGCAACATCATGTTAGTCATGCAAGAGGTTCGGCATTGTGTGTTTGGGCACAGCGACGATAATTTAGTTGGTGTTACTATCTTGAAACATCGACTTCGGTGGCTTGGACATGTTCTACGAAGGTCATCCCGGAAAATTCCGCATTATGAATTATTCGCCGACGCTGGGACCGATCCTGTTGTAACTTTCTTTTACTTTCTTAATAAGAAATGAACGGAACTTCTTTAACTGAAATAACTCTTTCTGGCTGTATTTTTGCTAACTGGATTGCCTCTACCATTATTATTATTTCACTCTCATATACTAATTTCTGTTCGCTATTGATCCCCTTTTTATTATATGCTTTTTACTTTATCTCTTCACATTCTCATTGTTATTATGTGGGGCGTATGTATTTGGTGCATCTTTGTACCAATACTCATGTGTTAAAACGAATAAATAAGGAAAACTTACACATATCTACATAATGATGATCGTATATTCCAACTCTGTTTCAAATTAGAAAAGTCTTTTTTCTGGTTTTCCTCATTTTAGTTTGCTTATAACGTTGACTCGACTACGTTTTTGCGAACCCCTACAATTTTATCGAGTAAAAGCAACGTTATCTTTAACTAATCAACCGCTAACATCCTAACTGGTTATACGTAGAGTAGCAAGTACTCACTAATTTAAGCTTTACTATTCGCGAGGATTTCAGGCATTATCATCATTTGGCGCTTACGTGATAAAGTGTATTTTAGCAGATAATTGATTGCTTGAGTAAACTAAAGATCACTATATATTTTGAAGCTTCACTTATTAAACTGATAAAGAATCTAAAGGTCTACCCAACTAGACGTAACATCTTTGTATACTATTAACTTAATCAGACAGAAAATTACAAAGTAAAAATTCAAGAAAAACATATGCGGCTATTCCTATTGTATAAGCTACGAATACTACCTAATAGTATTTGACTGGATTTCCACCGTTTACACTCAAATGGATATCTGAATAAGTAAGAATATTTCTTGTTCCTCGGTGGTCAATTCTCAAAAATTTTAAATTTCTCTTTAATAAATCATATGTCGTTGCGTGTAGTCTAACTTTGTAACATCATTGTGTGCTTTATTGGACTAGGTGTTCTGTAAATAATAATTATAACTTTTCTTCAGTCAGACTAGTGGATTTGAGTCTTTCGATTGAGACTTTTAGCTTGCAGATGAATATCTAACAACTGGTATCCGACAGCAACAAAGCTGCATTGGATATGAAAACTTATTACTATAATTATCAAATAAGCTTATATACTTGTTAAAAACCTGACTAATTCAAGTTTAATTCATATTATTATTGGCATATAGATCAATACTACTTGCTATTAAAAAACTCACTTATGCAACAATTTAAAAAAAATACTCCAATACAAATAAATAGGATTTATCCATTAATTTGTTTGACAACTTTCTAAAGACAATTATTCTATTTGAATTACGAAAGTGAGAGGACAAGAAGCGAATGTCTGGTGCTTTTACAAGGTTAGTGGATATCCCTGATTCCAAACCAACGGTGCACATCGGCTCCAGAATCCTGAAGGAACAAATGGAACAAATCGTTGGTCACCGGTAATCATGAGAATGAATCTCCTGACGTTGCCCCACTGTCCTGTAGATCAAACGTTTAGGTTGAAGGCTTCAAGCCTGGTCTCCACAGAAAACCAACTGCAGTATCCCAGGTCTCACACAAATCGAATGATTCATATGGTGTATATCTATTTGGTTACCTCCTTGTACCAATGTTTATATGTTCAAATAAATAAAATAAATTTTGAATGACAAGTTTTCGTACCTTAATACAATTTTATTTTTATTCTCCATTATGTTGTAGATGGTGTCACAGTCACTTTCCAAAAAGTTTTAAAAGTTGTTGAACAAGAAAAAGTCTCTGAAATATTAGAATTAGATGGTCATTTAAAATCTGTTGGTGATCAACTAGAAATATCATAAAAATATGATGATAATAAACAATAAATAAAAAGCTGCGCTTTATTCCTGTTGCCATTCAACAACAAAAAGTACATTTTATTTCTATATCTATAAACTTTTTATTATTATGAACATTTTTTTTTATAAAGAAAATTTATTTATTAAAACCTATTCATAATGAAATCTTATTTATTAAATTATTCCCATTATTCTTTATCATTAGTATTATTACTACCTTAATTATTTCTGTTGATGAATATCATTGCTTCTTTTCTTGTTTATTTTTCTTTTCTTTTTAAAAAAGAAAAAAAGAAAAGAAAAACAATATCGCGCCTAAAATTACACTTGAAATTCATTCAATCAAAATAATGTTTCTATCATTTGTAAATTGAAGGTAACATTTTGTTTTAGTTGTTTGTTTGTTTGTTTGTTTTAATTTTTCCATAGGTTGCAGTATAAAACATTGAGCTGATTCATTTGATGTTGTATTGTGAAGACATTTCTTTCTTTGTTTGTTCTTTTTATTTTTAAAGACATTGTATTCACTTATATTCTTCTTTGCCAATTTTATTATTATTTTATCTTTGCGACTTCTTATTTTTTAATTCTAGATAGGTACGTTTTTTCTTATTCTTTAAGTGATTTACTTTATATGATCAGTAGAATAATCATCTTTTCTTCTTCTTTTTTAAGAAAACCTTTTTTGTATATCCTGAATTGTTTTGATATAGATCCTTTTTAAATAGATTGCAAGTTCATGTGTATGTACATAGTTTATACACAAAATTCTTGATAATGTTGAATAAATAAATAAATATATTTGGCTATTTGTAAAGATTTATTCAAGTTTATGATTGGCTAATGATTGATTAGTAACTAACGTCTTCTTTGTCTGTTTTCCAAACTCTCTGCTATGTACGAGGATGGGGAGAGTTAGCTCTCCCTCCTGAAATACACTCACATGGTCACGCGTATACAACCACTGTTAGAGACCTCCTACTTATTGCTTACTCAGCGTTACTGTTGTTTACTAAATTGAGAGAACACAAAGCGAATAACTGATGCTTTAACAGGATTAGTGGACACTGAGGAACCACATAGTGGAGTTGGAAATCCCTTTTTTAAAACGAATGGTTCACATAGGTTCCAGGATGCTGAAGGAACAAATAACGTATGAATCAACAGTTGGTCACCGTCTATCATGGGATTGCATCTCCTGACTTTGCTTTACTGCCATACGGATCAGACATTTAGTTCGAAGTCTCTGAGTGTGGCCCCCACAGAAAACCACCTGCTTCGATTTGGGCACTTGGGTTGTATCCCAGCCCATAAACAAATCAAGTTACTTGTGTTGCGTATATATATTCGTTGCCCCTTTGTACCAACATTTGTGTTCAAATAAACAATTTTCTGTTTTCTACTTACTACCGCATGTTACCCCTAATGACTGACTGACCTAATGGTGGATTACAGGTCGAACAACAGCATTTTTCATCCAACTCTGTCCTGGACAATCCTTTCCAGTTATTCCCAGTAGCTATTCATCCTTTTCATGTCTGCTTCCAATTCCCAACGCAATGTGTTCTTTGGTCTTTCTCTTTCCCTTCAGGACTAAACGTTTGCGCATGCCTCCTGATGCAGATTAATGGTTTCCACAATATGTCTCCTATCCACTTCCAACGTCTATTCCTAGTTTCTTCTTCAGACAGAAGTTGGTTTGTTCTCTCCCACAGTAGGCCGTTGCTGATGGTATCTGGACAGCGGACGTTCAGTATCTTGCGTAGACAATTGCTTAGAAGTACCTGTACTCTTTTGATGATGCATGTGGTAGTTCTCCACGTTTCAGCCCCATACACTCGAACTATCTTGACATTCGTATTGAACATTCTGATTTTGATATTGGTTGATAGTTGCTTAGAGCTCCATATATTCTTCAGTTGTGGCAATGTGGCCATTGCTTCATCAATCCTCGCCTTTATGGATTGGATCATCCTTGAGCATCCATAATGATGGTGCTTAACTACTTCAAAGATTCCACCTGGACCAGAGTTTGTCGGCAAGACAGAGTTTAGTTCTGTTGTAATAAAGGCATAGAAATGACAAATCTTCAGTGATATTTTCCTAAACATTGCATTGAAACATGAACAGTTAGTTCAAAGGCGAATAACATACATACATATACATATTTTAAGCTTTACCTGATCCATTAAAAAATCATTTAGTCACAAAAAAAATTACCTTACACTTTTGACTTCGCCCTAGCAATAACTCCTGTCAAAATATCCACTAATCATCAAAAGTAATCTAACAGTATATGTTTGTTTTAGGATGTTTCTTCGTTCTCGGTATGTTACCTTCTAGTAGCTACAGCAGAACTGTTACGCTTCATAAAATCGAACTGTTATAATAATGTTTAACAAGTTGTTAATCTTTAAATCCATAACTTGTTTTTTTAGTAAGTAGTAAAGCCTAGCATAAATGTCCTATGCCGATTCATTTTTGCCATACATTTCATTTGTTATGAAGCTACCATCACAAAGGATAAATATCTGAAAATCCTGTTGTTCAATTTCAAGTTTTGAATTTTCAATCTCACTTGCCAATACCAAATCATAAGCCTAGGATTCCTATCACTAACAATGAAATTTTTCAGTTTACAGGTTGTGGAGATTGTTAAGTTTCTTTTTTATTGAGGTCATGAACCGATTGATATTAGACCACCATTGAAAACGTGGAAGCACTGGACGGCCGTTTCGTCCTATTTTCTCACGGAGTTAGTCACTAGTGAGAACATGGTAATTATCAGTTTGGAGGTTGTGGGGAAAATTCTCGGAGTTCTGGTGAGAAGCCACGACCAGTGGAGCTAATCCGTGTCGGGTAGAAACAGGTGTCTACCTCAGCACAATGGAAGATGGTTGCGCAACTTCGTGGATTGGTTGATGTTAGACACTTACACCACTAGTAGGTTAAGCGTCCGCGCGCGAGACTGAAGGCCCTGGGTTGGAATCCCGCTAGCGAGATCGTGGATACGTACTGCTGAGGAGTCCCACAATAAAACGAAACGGCCGTTCAGTGCCTCTAGGTTTCCAACGGTTGTCTAACATCAATCTCCACAACCCCTATACTGATATTTTGAATATGACAGGTTCTTGACTAAAATAAAATTCATTTGCAAAGATTAACTGCATATTTATCTCAAATCGTTCTTGAACTAAACTGAATTATTTAAAAACCGATGATCAATTAAATTTCGTACCAAAAAATGTCACTACAATCTAATGAGGTTCGACATAAAATTACTAATAATCGACATCATAATGAAAATGTTTTAAATAATAATTTAACAATCATGTAGGCTAAATAAGATTATATATAAGAATTATGCTTAGAATAATCAGTTACTTCAGTGAAGAAGCTTGAACCAGATTTTATTTGAACACATAAATATTGGTGCAAAGGGACAACGAATATATATGCTTCACACAAGTAACTTGATTTGCGTGTGCGATGGGATACTACCGGAGTGCCCAAATCAAAGCAGGTGGTTTGCTGTGGAGGCCACACTCGACCTAAATGACTGATCCACAAGACAGTGGAGCAACGTCAGCAGATGTGATCGCATGACAGACGGTGACCAACTATTGATTCATACGTTATTTGTTCCCTCAGGATCCTGGAGCCCATGTGAACCATTCGTTTAGAAATAGGGATTTCCAACTCCACTAGGTGGTTCCTCAGTGTCCACCAACTCTGTTAAAGTGTCAGACATTCGCTTTGTGTCCTCTTAATTTCGTAAACAACAGTAACGCTACGAGAAAGCAATGAGTAGGACGTCTCTGGAATTGACCATATGAAAGTATTTCAGGAGGGAGAGCTAACTCTCCCCATCCTCGTCTATACCAGATCATTTGGAAGCCAGGAGAAACGTTAGAATTATTTGAATTTAAATACAATTGTGACAGAACGTTTTCTACATGTATGGTGCTTAATTTCTATCAAATGGTTTATTCGAACTTTGATGAACATTTCATATAAAGTATTATACAATTGAATTCAATTATTAATTGAAATGCACACGTATCATAATTAACGACTATTTAATCTACATTATTTAAAACAAAATATCTGTCGTAGTATAGATAGTATGTTTTCATCAATATGGACTTATTAGATAATGTGACTGATTTATTTATTTAATTTAGTATTTTTGTGGTTGTTTATTGTCTGTTTCGTACTATTTTCAATTTCGTATGTTGCTAATAATAATAATCATAACAGCCCTTCAAGAATGAACACTATAAACTGAATCTTTTATAAATGTTTAACAGACTGTTCAGAAGTCAATAAAGTAATCATTCAATGACTTACTTAAGAGTATACAAATATACCCTGTTCAAGATTATTATATCTGTCAGTGTTTGCTGATAGTTAAGGACATTAAGAATACGGCAGAGAAGTATATACAATGAGTTGAAGCAGCAAAACTACCATCGTAGGTTTGGCTATCCCCATGGCTAAGTGCATGAAAGTCATGGTCATGTGTTCATGCTGATTTTTCTGGATCAATAAATGATCAGAACATCTTAATCATCGTCAAGTTGTTTACAAAATATCATCAATAATCATGGTTCTGAATTTGAGTTTCTGGAAACGCCCCTTATGGAAAACGGGCCTCAGTTCACACTTGAAATCTTGGATTTCTGTTTAAAGAATGCGTTTGCACACAATCAATCATCACTCTATGACCCTCAGTCAAAAGGCCACCTTAAGTATTTCGTTAATGCGCTGAAACAAGTTCTCATCATAATATAAGGGGAGGACATGATGAAGGAACCATCCAGAATTCACTGGAAACACAAAGAATGACTCCCCAAAATGTCTCTCCAGAGGAAGCAATGTTCGCGAGGAAAATTCGCACTTCATTTAACGCCAACATCAATCTTGTAATTATAGATAAATCTGTAATCAAGAATGTAACATGGACATATGTTCAATGGCATTGTCACAACTTTATGAGAGTT